TGAGTGCACAGAAGTAAGTTGTTCAAAACGTCAAGGGTTTAACCTTGAACAAACTCTTTACGTTATCATGTTGGACTAAAATTGATCACTATGGGCTTATCAGTGCTACCAGGGTCATTTTGTTGTGTTCTTGGGCAAGAAACCTAGCTTTTATGAAGCCTCTTTCCATCCAGAAGTGTATTGAATAATGGATGAAATCAAATTGTTTCACCAAGCTATCAAAAATACTGAGAGAATTATCATTCCAAAGTACTTATTCCAGAGTAATTATCATCCCATCCAGGAACGTTTTATAAGACTGAATCACTTTCTCATGCTATGTAAACTTGAGTTAAGTACAAGCACAATTGGCCACCAAGACTTGTCATCCTCAAAGCCATTAATAATTCATCAAGTTTAAACAAAAGTTAGGACGTCAAACTGTGACAGTGCTTGGGTATCTGACCTGAATTGGCATGGATGTTTAGGATTTTATTTCTCCATTTCTCCTAAGAACTCCATAGTTTTGATTGAGAGGGTACATCAAACTTATTACTTGACTGTGTTTTACCACTTCTCCAAATACCTCAAAGCAAACGTAACCAACACATTATCCTCTTCATGTCGCATCTTCAACTCTCTTCTCATAAAACACATTCTCATGTTTGACATACAGTATTACTCAGCATTAAAGCTGTTTTAAATCCAAATAGTTAAGGCTGCCACACACTAGCTGATTTTTTGTCGGCCAACAAAAAATCTTCACTGTCTTGTCAGCTAGTGTGGGGTGAATTCAGACAAGTCTGCAACAAGATCGGGGCTTGTCAGGCGATACCTAACAGTGCTAGATCTCAAAACATCTTGTTGGGCCTTGTCGGGTAGTGTGCGGTGGACCAAGAAAATTTGTCGGCACTCTCCCACACCTCAAACAATTAGAAAATGTCATGAGAGTCACGTCAGTGGAATAGGTGCCATCTTGATTTTGGATGACTCGGTCCCAAGCCTCAACCCGGTTAGTCACGACAAAAAATCATCTAGTGTGCAGCAAGGTGATGGCCCCACAAAATTTAACCCGCTTTGACCCAGACAAAAAATCTGCAACCTCTACAGGTTTCCCTAAATATATCTTAAGATAAAAAGTAAATAGCATACAATCAGGGATTTCATTAAGGACTGGGCACTGGACAAATTGACCGGCTGTGACTGGATGATTTTGCCAGCCTGTTTTGATTATCTAGAGGAAAAGTTTTCTTATAAAAAAAGTTCAGTTCAAAACGTTTTGCCCCCCTGTGAAAACCAGTTGACCCCTCCCCCCTGGTGAAAACGTTAATGAAACTCCTGTATAGTAAACTGTTTAGTTAACTGTGAAGTTCTGAAAATCAGTGCCTACATCTGCTTGAGTTGAGGTCCTTGACAACTTCACATGTCTTGCAAGCATACCAATCTACGAGTATAGAAAACAAAGAATATTCTTCATTCAATCTTTACAATGTTGACACACAGAATTTAGAGGAATTGCATGGATTGTTTGAGCACATACACACACCAAGCTAATGATACTGTAGGTGCCTAGCACATAATTGGTTTGGATCAAGATTTTGTGGACCAAATCTTGTGACCTCTAGTATTTTTCTATGCAAATCTCCAGGAATTGGAGGGATGCTTTAAGAATAGTGTTCATGAGCAGAATACAGAGGATTTTAATACTCTTCAATGTTTATATTAACTTTTGAAAGTGAAATTTGGTCCATTTCTTGGGTTTAACAAGAGAAACAATGTACTTTTCGGCAAAGTGGAAATCTCCTAGAAACCACCTAGATTTAAATTTTCCGTGGTTCAATCCAAAGAAAAATCCCAGTTTAATTTACCAGAATTGTTATTTGTTTATCTTCAATTAATTCCACTGACCGGTACCTTGTTGACAACTATTTCGCACTTACAAGTATACTTATTTATTTATTGCAAAAGTATATTAATATGGTTGGAATAACATCTACAACCGCAGTTCATATATGAATTATTTCATATAAACTTCACATCACAAAATAAACAATTACTCAAAGCAACAGAATGATATAAATTGCATCCACCTCTTCAGCAGCCTTGACTTTTGA